AAAACTGAACTTTGTTACTGGTTTAATTTTCTCTGTATTTTTATCACCATCTCCAAATATGACTTATCTTCCTGGATTGTCTTTAAAAGTTTCTCCTCCCCTCTTTTATTCCCATTTTTGCAGCTGTTTCATATACCCTAGCTTTACTGTATTATCTTGCCTTTGATATGTGAACCCCAATTTTCCTGTTGATTAAAGGGGTCTCCCAGAGAAATCCAAAAAGCTAAGAAAAAAAAGCCAGTTTTCCCTGACTTAAAATGACTTTGGACAAACTATGTTCAACACAAAAATATCAAAGATGAAAAAAGTAAATGAATCATTTATAACCCCAAAGAGAGGGAAAAAGTCTTAGCGACTCTTCAGAGAAAAATACATAATATGGACACTGAGAGATTTGCTTGTGGGCCTTAAAGAGGCTCAAGACCCATAGCTGTGTTCATTTTCAGATTATTTTCTTGGCTAAACAAAACAAAACACATGGTAATTCAAAAAAATTGACTTATGGAGACTATCTGCTTTGCCAAGGCAAGTGAAAGAACCCTGTTTTATTATCCTTGTGAGTCATCGCTTCTTCTTGGTTCTGTGAAAAGATTGCTATGAAACTCATTAGCTATTACTTAGAAATAAAACCAATGTTTGTGATTCATTTATAAAACAGAAATTAGTCAATTCACATAATTAAATGTAATCTTAACTTTGAGGTACTGTAAAAATGACATCTGCCATTGAAGATTGAAGATGCTGTTTTAGGAATCCGTTGCTTGTGTAGAAGCCTTCTTGGATCTTCTCATAGGCCTCACTTCAGTTCAGAAGAAGAAAGAGTGTTGGAACTTTGGTCAACTGCATGGCCATCTGGTTGGCTGGTGCCCAGAAAGTGACCTGTTTTCATCCTTCATTTCACCTCATGAAGGGCTGGAGTGGCCAGAGAGGGGTTACAGGCCAATGGGGGCCTGAGAAGCAGGTAGGGGATAGAGCCCAGTTGGTCAGGGAAAGGTGGGGGTTGAGCCACAGGATGCAGAAGATCACAAGTAGAGAACCCACATACATCAGTAACTTCCAAAGGAAATGGGGGCTGGGAAAAGCCCCCCAGGGCAGGGTCTATGCAGCCACAAGCACAGGATGGGGATTGGAAAGCATAAGCATGAACTAAGGATATCTACGAAATGGCTTCTGATAGGCCCCTGGGCCACTGCTTGTGGATTCGTCTACTTGACAAATCCCATGTCCCATGGGAGGTCAGACCTATTAAAGAATATGGTTGCTCTGGAACCATGGAGGCAAGAAAAAATGAAAGGACACACCTCACTATTTTTTTTTTTAAGTTTATTTATTTGTTTTTGAGAGAGAGAGAGAAAGACTGACTGTGACTGGGGGAGGGGCAGAGAGGAGAGAGAGAATCCTAAGCAGGCTCCTCACTGTCAGCACAGAATCCCACGCAGTGCTCAAACTCACAAACCATGAGATCTGTGACCCGAGCTGAAATCAAGAATCAGATGCTTAACTGACTGAGTCATTCAGGTGCCCCTGGCTTTGTTGTTGTTGTTGTTGTTGTTTTAAGTCTGTCTATGGGACCCCTGGGTGGCTCAGTCAGTTAAGCTTCAGACTCATGGTTCGGCTCAGGTCATGATCTCATGGTTTCGTGGGTTTGAGCCCAGCACTGGGCTTGGCACTTACAGCGTGGAGCTTGCTTGGGATTCTCTATCTCTTTCTCTCTGCCCCTTCCCCACTTGCACTGTCTCTGTCTCTCAAAACAAGTAAACTTAAAAAAATTTTTAAAAAGTCTGTCTAGAGAGTGGCATTTTAAGAGAAAGTTAAGAAACTGTGTCTTAACAACTTAACCTTTAGTCTGAGGATGAGGAGAATGAGGCCAGGCAGGGAAGTGACTTGGGTGGTGGAGCTTCATTCAAGTTTACCCTCTCCCCGGGGGGATCTTACGGACCCTAATTTCTCGCTTCACCTTCTTTAGCTCCCACCTCCACCTCCTGGACGGCCACTGGTTGTGACTCAGAGCCAGGGCCTCCCAAGGCCCATGACTGGGTAGGTAGCTGGGAAGAGTGGCTGGGAGAACCCGCATGTGGAGGTCAGAACTACACTTATTTTGTCCGCTTGCATCCTGGGTGCATGAGGCCTTCCACACGTTTCTGGAGCAAGTCTGAAAACCTATCATTAATGTTGTATGTGTATATATCTCTATATACATTTATTGTTGTTGTTGAAAATACCCCAAAGTATGTTTTCTCTGAAACCCAATACCTAGACATTTTGGGGACAGCCTGATACTGAGTCATATTCCTTCTCTAAGAGAAGGATCCAAGCAGTTTTTGCATCTTGATGGAGCTTCCTTTTCCCAGAAAAAGAATTAAGAGTAATATCTTAGAAATTCTATCTCTTTGAATTACCTGCTCATCACACCGGGAATTTGAGGAAAATGCTTGATGTGTGTGAATGAGACACAACTGTCTGATGTGAGCGGAGCAAACACTTACTGTGCTTTGAGTTCTAAGCACTTTTCCTTCTCTCACTCATGTAATCCTCCCTGAAGCCCCCTGAGATGGACCGTTCCCATTTATTGGTGGGGACACAGAGCTGGCCGGTCCGTGACAATCTAACCCTGATGTGAGCAGTCTTAGCCACTCTACTTGCCTGTCTCTGAAAAAAGGTGATTGATCCACTTGTTGTTTTTTCCCCCCATTGTTTTTGCATTAGAAAAATGGAAAACACTACCTTTCCTGCCCCAAACCTTCTGGAAAATTTGTATAGTAAATCTTGTAGACTCTTGAGGAGAAGGAAACTAGTTCTGCCTTGAGGGAGATTTCAGGGTACAATGGGCCATCCAATCGAGTATGAAAGAGCTAGATGAACCGTGAGCTTGAGATGCAAATGCCTTTGGAAGTAGGGCAAGATCTCTAAGGCAAAAATGAGGTCAGAGGATGGGGGAGAAGAGGAATTACAGAGGGGTATCCAGGAGACTGGAGCAGAGCTGAGAGATGTTGCCCAAGGAAGAGGATTCTCACCCTGGGAAGACTTGTGTGGGTATATGGATTTAGCAAAAGACTGTCATGGATGATGAAGTCTCATCACTTTTGTGACTCTCGATGAACCATGCCTCAAGGCATTCACACACTTGTGTTGTCTCTGCCTCTTGAATGTGATCTGAGCTGGTCAGACTGTGAGTTGGTTTAACCAATAGAATGATACAGAGGTACTGCAATGCCCTCTGTGGACCTCAGTTTTAAGAAGGGCTAGCAGCTACTGCAGTGCATTCTTGGGTGTTATGAGCTGCCATATAATAAATGTAGGTATCCTACTGGACAGATCACATGGAGAGGCCATGTGGAGAGGCATGTGGAGAGGAAGAATCCCTGAAATTACATGGAGGAAACCAAAGAACCCAACAATGAGAATCAAGGCCATAGACCTATGATGCCTGTCAGGTGGTTCAACCTGCTTCTACATGTTTGGGCCATTCTAGTGGAGGCACTAGAAGTTTGAGTGAAGAAGCCCCAGGAGACATCATATGAGACAAAGGCAAACTATCCCCCATACCCCAGCTGAACTCCTGATCAGAGAATCCTGAGGAATAATACAATGATTATTGGTATGAGACCACCACTAAATTTCAATAGCTTGTTTTGCAATAATTGATAACCAAAACAACTGCACTGTTTGCATGCCCAGGAGCTCTAGAGAAACTGAAACTTCCTTTCCTGAGGACCTCACCCCCTATACTTGATCCCAGCTGCATGAATCCTGGTGGCAACTTTACTTCACCAGTATCCAGCATCTCATCTATAGGTCACCTACCATCAGTGATGCCATGATTTTGCATGAATTCTTCTTGGTTACCCCATATAGACACCCCCTATCTGCTGCCCACTCCTCCTATAATGTCTTGGGATATTCCTAATTCCAAACAAGCGAGGGAGTGGAGACTTAGGCATTTGGTAAGATAATGTGATGGTTAATTTTATGTATTAACTTGACTAGGCCATGGGATATTTGGTCAAACATTATTCTGGATGTTTCTGTGCTAGCATTCATTGGATGATGTTGACATTGAAATTGGTGGTCATGGGTGAAGATTATCCCCCATAATGTGGCTGGTCCTTATTTAATTAGTTGAAGGCCTTAATAGAACAAAGAATGACCTCTCCAGGTCAAGAAGGAATTCTGCCAGCAGATGGCCTTTGGATTGGAGCTATGACTCTTCCTCTAGTCTCCAGCCTGGTGGCCTACCTCAGCAGAATTTGGACTTGCCAAGCCTCTACAAATGTGTGAACCAGTTCCTTAAAATCTCTTAATCTCTCTTTCTCTTTCTGATTCTGTATGCACACGTGTGTGTGTGTGTGTGTGTGTGTGTGTGTGTGTGTATTTATTAGCCTGTTGGTTCTGTTTCCCTAGAGAACCCAGACTATTATAGATAATAAGGTTTGCTGCATATATTCTTTGTGCCACTGAGTTGAATAAGCTCAAGAGTAGGGACAGTAGTGAATGACCCCTTGTTTTGTGTATTTGAGCAATTACTGGTTTGAGACTTTGGAGCTGTGTTTTAGGCTGCTCTGGCTCTGCCCCTCTGTGACCTTGGGAAAACCAATCAACCTTTTTGGGCCCCAGTTTCATTATGGTTATAGCTCTCAAAAATTTCTGTAATTTAAATATGGTTATTAGGATAAAAAAGGAAACAATGGAGCCATTGTTACTGCAATAATGAGTGCTTAATCATGGCCCAGGTGGGGACCATATAATAAGCTTTTTTTTTTAAGAGTTTTAAAAGTGTGCATATTTTGCACTTTCTACTTTCTGCAGTTTAAATTGTATGAGTTGAACAGTGGCAGATTCTCGGGGGTTACCATGCTTACTCAATTATCCAGGGATATTAACCGGCACACCTGTTCATATTTACCTTTTTATTACTTGGCCTCACAACCAATAAAATTATGGTTTGCTCAATTCATTTTCATAATGCATTGATTGGTTTTAATCATATGCTTTCTCCTCAGTGTCTGAGTAGACCGGAGAGAATGGCCACGGAAGTGTCGGGGTCCATCACTTAAAGGGAAGCCAACAGATTCTCTTTGATGTGAGAGGCCTGGTCATGAGAAGAGGAGGTATGCTTTCCTGGTCTGGGCCGCTTGCTGTCTGGATTTGGTTGTGTGTTCGCTAGAGTGGTTATGGGCCTGTGTGAGCTGAGGAGCCCCAGGCCCTGCCCAAGCATCAAGGACGACTCTGATGGTTCTGTGCACCCCCAGAGCAGTGCCTCATCCTTAAGTGGCCACTGATGAGGGCTGGCTAAGGTCACTTTTATGATAAAACAGCTGTGACCCAGGGTCTGCGAACAGAGTTCTCCCACGTGCCGTGGACACAGACCACAGAGGTGAAATGACTTGTCAGTTAATGCTCCTTAAGTGCTTTCTGACTCCTGGAAAGATTCTTTCTGTCTTGCTAACTGGGACCCTGTCTTTGGACAAACAGCAACAGTGGACTTGTTGCTGCTGTTCCATGTGGAGTCCTAGAACCACAGAGATTTGAGACTGGAAGGTGCAGCCTTAGTGATGATGGGTGCAGCGGTTTTCAAACTCAACTTGAGCTGTGGAGGCAACTGTTGAAAAGAAAGGTGGGACAGAAGTGCAGGACAGAAATCTGAGGAAGAGGCATTTCAGATTGAAGCCATCAAAGGGGCACTAGGGCTGACACCTCCTGGGGGGCTCCCTCAGCCCTCATGAAACCCCCAAGTTGGGAGTCTTTGAGACCCAGGGATGTGACCCAACTTTTTCCTGTGAATCATGAGGAAACTGAGGCCCAGGGATGAGGCCCAGGTCTTCCCAAGAGCACTCTATGAGTGACAGGAGCAGCCTGGCATGTTTCTTCCAGAAGCTTCTCCTTCAAGTCATTCCCACTCCACCACACTGCTTTTACCCATGAGTTGCAAGGATTTCGGTTTGTTTTTCCTGTTGTAAATCATGGTGGGTTGCTTCCCAGGGTCTCCTGGAAGAAGTTCTGCTGTCATGTACAGTAGTTCCCAAGGCTGTCACCCTTCACTCTGGTTTCTGCCTCTGTGGTCACATTGCCTTCTTCTTTTCCATATGTGTCAAGTTTCCTCTGCCTCCCTTTAATAAGGACCCCAGTGATTACATTTAGGGCCCACCTAATAACCCATGGTACTCTCCTTACTTTAAGACCTTTAACTTACATCTGCAAAGTTTTTGCCGTATAAGGGAATATTTACAGGCTCCAGAGATTGAGACCTGATATCTTTCGGGGCTACTATTCAGCCTACCACTCTAGTCAGCCTCAGGGACTTGTTTTGGCACTCAGGAGAGATGATATATGCAAAAATGCTTAATAATCAAATGTATGAAGCATCCTTTTTTAAGTGATGGTAAATGTATTAAGATTTTTTATAGTAATAATGGCAATATCTGTCTCTGTAGCAGAATGTACATTAAAGTAACATAACAGAGTAAAATGTTAACAATAGAGATCTTATGTGAAGTAAATTTGGGGCATTCATTCATTCTACAGATATTGACTGAGCATGTACTATGTGATAGGACTATCCCAAGAACTTGAGATTCACTGGTTAAATAAAGTAAATAAAGATCTATGGTTTTGTGGAAGTTCTATTGCACATCAGTGGGGTCTGGAGGGGGCAGAGAATAAGCAATAATTGTGACAATAAAGAACTTACAGAGTGATTGCGAAGTGGGACAATGAATTACTGTAAAGAACGCAGGAACCAAGGGTCAAGGGGCTTGGTGGTAGGCCCATCAAATGGAGATATTTGGACAGAGTTGCAGGAGGTAGTCATGAGCCCTGCAGGCATCTGGTGGAAGAGTGGTTTAGGTTGACTATGATTGTAGAGGGCCAGAGGTGAACACTTAGTAAATTGTTAATGGAAATGAAACTGCAAATTTGTTTTTTGACACAGTTCCGCTGCTGGTCTGTTTGAGGGACTGTGAGCAAAAGCCTTACAGAGGCCATTCACATCAGTGAGGCCGACCTGGGGAAGGCGACTTGAAGCCATGTCCTCGCAGAGAGGGTCTCACCCACCGGGACAGTCTGTGCACTCTAATGGCACATGCTCTGTGGAATGTACACCAATGGGGCTGGGTGGCCAGTGCTATAGAGGATAGAAGCTGGATAGCCTGAGTTCTTATGTGGAATTGTGGAATTTTCCATTTTTAAAATGTCAATTGCTGTCAAATCTTGTAACATTCACATTCTGTACTCTAAACGTAATCCTTGCCTTTTCTTTTTTACATTTATCTTTTTCCAAAAATTTTTGTTAATGTTTATTTATTTTTGAGAGACAGAGAAAGACAGAGCATATGTGGGGGAGGGACAGAGAGAGAAGGAGACACAGAATCTGAAGGAGTCTCCAGGCTCTGAGCTGTCAGCACATAACCTGATGCGGGCTCGAACTCACGAACCATGAGATCATGACCTGAGCTGAAGTTGGATGCTTAACCAACTAAGTCCAGGCGCCCCTACATTTATCTTTTGACTGACTGAATTTTATGTTCAAATAGTTTTACTTTAGTTGTTTATTTATTTACTTATTTGCTTACTTCTGACTGTCTCATACATGTGAAGTTTCCTGAAAGTTGGAATAATTAAGAATGCCTTATGTTTACTTAATGCAGTCAGGATTTAAAGTATGGTTGGTCTTAGGTCACAACTTCTTTCCCTGATCCTTTGAAAAATTTTAGGCTTTCTTCTGACAGTCAACTCTGCTTATTTTCTTCCTGGAACCATAAAGAATCTTTATTTAATTATTTACTTAAATAAAATTATACAAGGATTTAATTTAAAAAATAGTTGCACTAGCTTGCAATGAAAGCCTAGTATTTTATCACACAATTTTTTTTAAAGATTGAGAACTATGGAGGGAGGTGAGAGAATTGGTAAGAGGGGTGAACGCCTTTCAAAGTCTCTGTAAAATGGAAATGCATTTCAAGAAATAAAGCACAAAGCACAATAATTCTAAAAGAAAATTCAATGGCAATTCATTTATTAAAATTGTGGGACAAACAAAATATATCCTGGGGCCAGAATCATCTCCGAGACCATCACTTTTCAACTTCTGGTTTATAAGATACCATTGGCAAACTTCAGAATGAAGGAGACCAGGGGCTCAGCTTGTACTGTGGTCTCAAGTTGCCCTCTTGTGAACCTCTGTGTGCTTTTGGGCTCACACCAACCATTTTCTCCTCAAATCCCTTTGTATTTAGATTTAGCACTCAGTCTAACCCTTGGTGTTTATTTCATAGCAAATTGTGAGAATCCGAAGGAAAGGAACATTTCAAAGCTTTTTGGGAGACTTCTCATGTTGCCTGATAGAGCTAATATGTATAAAAATGTTATGTAAATTGTAAGACACTCTCTAAATATTAGTTGTGGTTTTTATTGTGTTGTCAGTATATGGCTTGCCATTATTGCCTGAATAAATGGTGGGTTAAGCCTAGAGACAAATTGTAATATTTCGGGGGGGGGGGGCAGATGCTTTCACTTATTAACACAAAGGAAAAGGAGTAGAGTTGGCAAGTTACCACTTCCCTTTCTGAGTCACTGCACTATCCTTCCACTTATCACTGGTGAGTGGTGTGGTACATGTTCCTATTCTTCATCAGTGTCTGGTGTCCCTCTGCTTATGGGCATCTAGGATGACTGTCATTTCTGCCTGCTTGAAGTTAGACCTGCCATGTGACTTGCCTTGACCAACAAACGTGAATGGGAGTGACATATGTCAGTTCCCAGAAAAGACCTTTCATTGGTGGTGCTCACCTCCCCAACCTCTTTCCCTGCTTTAGCAAGTATGGAAACATCTACCAGTCCAGGGTAGTGACACTGAGTCATCACATGGAGGACAGCTACCTGGAAGAATGGCCCTAATACACACACACACACACACACGCATGCACACATATATATACACATGTTATATACATATATTATATACAAACTATATACACACATTACATACATATATACATATACATATATTATACATACGTAAGTTGTATGTGTATACATAGACATACACACATATATTAGGCCATTTTTTATATAAATTAATATGTAATATATAATTATATTAATATATAATATATTTTATATAACACAATACCAATTATTTATACATATCAATATAGTCAATATGTAATATAGTATACAAAAATAGTCAATATATAATATATTAATATATTAGGCCTATATAATGTATAAGGCCTCTATGTAATAGGCATAGTGCCTTATATGTATCTATTTTAATAAGCATAATATCTTACATATCTAATGTAATAGGCATAGTATCTTATATGTATCTAATATAATAGGCATAGAATCTTATATACATCTATTATACACCAATACACGTATTGGGCCATCAGATAACAAAAAGTTACACTATGCTGTGGAAAAGCACAAGCTTTGGAGTTAGACCCTGGTTTCTGTCCTGGTGTTTTTGAGACATTATTTCCTCATTTTTGAGATGAAGAACAATAACTGGGACCAGTTTTGGCTGGAGAAAAAGAGAAACTGGGCAAGTTATGCATTACTTATCAGGTTGAGATTGTGTGTGTGTGTGGCTGTGTGTGTGTCTGTGTGTGTAGTGTGTACCCACTCTGTAGGGGAGGCAAGCAAAGCCCCTGGAGGGTAAGATGTAAGGAAGTGCCCATTCTCAGGCTCATGCCAGGTGGATGCATATGTGTCAATATCTGCCACTTCCTGAACAGGAGATTGCAAACTTCTTGCTGGTCAGAGCTGTGTCTGCTTCATCTCCCTCGAGGGCCTATGCCCTCGAGGGGTAAGGCACGTCATTTGCATTTATAGGGGGACAGAACCACACTTCCGCTCCTCAGAAGGACTGATGTTTTGAAGACAGTTGTGCCACTAGCTTTAGATCACTGACTTCCTTAGATATGAATGTAGCTTTGCCTTCCTTGCCTTCCAAGTTTGTGTTAGCTGTGATCCCTTGAAACAAAAGGTCATTGGGGGGTCAGGAGTCACGATGGGATATCAAGGGGTGTTTGGTGATGCCCTTTCAGCTCAGATCCACTGTTGTTGGCAAACTCCCAATCCACTCTGGACTGTTGTCAATGAAAGAGCT